TATTTTGGATATTAACCCCTTATAAGATATCTTGTTCACAAATATCTTCTCCCATTCAGTAGGCTTCCTTTTTGTTTTATTGATGGTTTCTTTTGTTGTAAAAAAACTTTTAAGTTTGATGTAGTCCCATATGTTCATTTTTTCTTTTACTTCCCTTGCCCGAGGGGATGTGTCAGTAAAAATATTGCTCAGGGTAATGTCTGCAAATTTAGACCCTATATTTTCTTCTAGGAGTTTTATGGTCTCAGGTCTTATATTTAAGTCTTTAATCCATTTTGAATTTGTTCTTGCATATGGTGTAAGGAGGTGGTCCAATTTTACTATTTTTGCATGTGTCAGTCCAATTTTCCTAGCACCATTTATTAAATAGACTATCTTTACCCCAATGTAAATTCTTGGTTCCCTTGTCATAGAGTAACTGCCCGTATATGCCTAGATTTAGTTCTGGGGTCTCTATTTTGTTCCATTGATCTATGTGCCTGTTTTTATGCCAGTACCCTACTGTTTTGATTACTGTAGCTTTGTAGTACGTTCTAATGTCTGGAAGTGTGATCCCCCCAACTTTGTTCTTATTTCTCAGGATTGCTGTGGTTATTCGGGGTCTTTTTTGGTTCCATATAAATTTTAGGATTATATTTTCTATTTCTGTGGAAAATGCCCTAGGTAGTTTGATAGGAATTGCATTGACTCTATATATTACTTGAGGCAATATGGACATTTTAACTATATTAATTCTTCCTATCCACGAGCATGGGAGGCTTTTCCATTTGTTTGTATCTTCTTTTATTTCTTTCTTCAGTGTCTTATAGTTTTCAGAGTACAGGTCTTTTACTTCTTTGGTTAAACTTATTCCTAAGTATTTTGTAGTTCTTGAAGCGATTGTAAACGGAATTGTTTTCTTAATTTCTCCTTCTGATAGTTTATTATTGGTATATACAAATGCAACTGATTTCTGAGTATTGATTTTGTATCCTGCTACCTTACTGAATTCGTCTATTAGTTCCAATAGTTTTTTGATGGAGTCTTTGGGGTCCTCTATATATAGTATCATGTCATCTCAAATCGCCCAACTCTTAACTACAATACATTCGTGGGCAAGTCACTTCCCGGTTTTCTTATCTCAAAAGAAAATCAAACATATACCATTCCAGAATTATTAAGGATTAGAGAAAATGTATCTAAACCTCAGTATCTAGCACAGAAGCACTTAATAATTTAGAATTTTAACAAGAAATTGTCTTATAAAATGAAATAGGTGTTCTATAGAGCTCCATCAAACTCTGGGAGTCTAGTATATTACTCTATTTCCTCAGCAAAAGGAACTAAGTCCACACCCTAAGCAAATGATCATTTGTTAATAACGGGTTCTCAATGAAACTGTACCACACTAACAATTTCATTTATTTCTTTGCTTTCTTACATTTTGAGTTATTTTTTAAACTATATTTTAATCAGCCATATTTCTATTTCCTTGCTTCTTTTACCAGAAAGAAGGGCAACTGTGATCTTAAAACAAAATACAATGAAGAGACTGTACAAACAATGCAATCTTGACTTGGGTGTTCGTGGGGGGCATTCAGAAGTGGACAGTAGAGAGAGGCACTGCCTAGAGAGGTTAGCACAGCCCCTGCCCCAGATGTGCAGAGCTGTTCAGTATGGGTTTGCTTGAGAAGAGTTTTTTAGTCGGCTATCATTTATAAAAACATCACCAATTTATAATAATTTAATCTCATTCAGAAATGACTTCAGTCATTTATCATGTTTATGAAACAATCTAGACAGACTAGAAGAATAACATCCAAACATCTATTTTTGGATAAAGGCACATTTACAATGAAGTAAAATGCCAACACTAAATTGGAGACCACACTAAGAAATCCAAGAACATATACCTATATTGCTTGTAATGCTCATAGACATCAAGGCACTTTGAAGAATAAAAGCAATTCTTTATGTGTTCCTATAGATTTTGATCTGCTATACCAAATATGAAAAATTTTATAGATTTCTATGTGCATTGAACAAGCACAAACTGCATGATACAATCAAATACAACTTGATTTTTGTCTCTACTATCCTCTTAAAATTTATGCAGAGGGTGGAAATGTTCCACTGCCACTGAGTGACCAGATAGCAGGCCCACATGATTCTTCCAGCCAGTGTTAAACAACAGACCTATGGTCACATCAGGTAACAAACCAACCTTCACTTGGTAATCAAATCTTTTTTCCCCAGCCCTAGCTGGAAAAAGATTACCTTTGTCTCTTTCCCATGCCCTCCTCTCCCCCTCCATAGCTGTCATTCTCTCCAAAGTGGGCATACAAGAGAAGGTATGTTGGGAGAAGGAAGGCAAGGAGATTCCAACTTAAGTGGTCCTGCCAAAAAGCCTGCCTGATGATGTTTGAAGCTCTTTTTTCTCAGATGCACTTTTGTGGGTTCTTCAGAGTCTCGCCTCAGAGTTCCTTCTGGCCATAGTTCCACTGACGTGGAGAATTCATTCTCCTCCTGGCTTTCTGGCTGTCACTTAAAAGACTCACTGTTGGAGCCTCATTGCCCTCCTAGATAGTTTCTTTGGGCAGGAGTCAAACAGCTCCAGGCTGCCCCTCTCCTCCACTAGGCCCATCGGGGATCTGCAGGAAACACTCATCTCTCCTTTGCTCTGCCAGACACTGGAGTGGAGGCAAATTCCAACATGGCCACCTCTCGGATAGCTCTTGCTGTAGGAACAGCTAGCCAGCCACAGCTCTCTCCTTTTTGGATGTCTCAGGGGATTCAGACCCCCATCCTCCATGCCCCCTAAATGAAGAGAAGTCTTTAAATCTCTAAGTGGTCCCTTTAAAGTTCCTCTCACTAGATAGCAAGTGAAAAACCATGCATCCCCATTTCTCCCAGGGGGTGCAAGGAAGTCACAGCATAATTTTCTGAAGGAATCCATACAAAATGTTCTTTACCCGGTAAGTGTCCATCTTTATGGGTTTTAGAGCTTCCAACTGGTTCTTGAAAATGAAATGCCTCACTTTTGAATTTC